AGTCGTTAGACCAGTGACCTCGCATCCCTACAAAGCCGGGACGGAGCACGTCGGGTTCTTACCGGACCAGGCGCTCACTCACATCATCAAGCCNTTTTCATGCCTTAGCAGTTAGACCATTGACCACGCGTCCTCGAGAGGACGTTGCATTGTGGTCCCCACCGGACCGGTCACCGATGGCCAATCGTTCCTGACTACTTTGCATAAGGTAGGGCGGGGCGGGGGGTGTACTCATAGTCGTGCATGCCGCAGTCGTTAGACCAGTGACCTCGCATCCCTACAAAGCCGGGACGGAGCACGTCGGGTTCTTACCGGACCAGGCGCTCACTCACATCATCAAGCCCGAAGCGCCTTGAGGTATTCGGCGAGTCGCATGAAGGGTGCGCTGCATCCTAAGGGTGTTCGGCATCTTGTGCTTACTTCCTTGCGTACGGATGACAGCTGCGTATGACTTCGTTTATCTTCTGGTGCGTTCACTTCCATAAGTGGTAAGCACTTTGAAACTGCGTCGAGAGTGCTTGACCAATTTAACACAGCGTGGTGCGATTATCCCCTTTGCGCGGAGTGAGGGTTCTCGACCCCGCACAACATGATCTACTCGACCACGATTCATGGTTGACGCACAAAAAAAAATAGTCAAAAAAGCAAATTGGTAACCTGGTTGCCGAGCTCACGAAGTGATCGGCTTGTTACACCATCGCTGCCAAGCGAGGAAACCCCAACCCCGATGCAAACACCGGGGGGGGAGGGTGCGCTGCTTCCTACTATTTAGGGTGTTCAGGAGGGGTAGAGGGGTGAAGAAGAAGACATAGGCGAACGGAGGCGAAGATACAACAAAGGGTTGGGGGCAATGTCAACAACAACTGTCTTGTTTTTCTAAGCTGATTGCGGCAACGCGTGACATGGATCACGAAAGGGAGCACAACCCCGAAAGCCGAAAAACCTTGCCACCTCCCCTGACACACCCAACTTGCCAAAAAAAAAAAATCTACTTGTGTTTCTGATCTTTTTCATTTTTTTTTGCTAAAACATCATGTTCCTGTTTCTTTTTTTTTCTTTCAAGGCGGGGAGACGACCTTGCCCGCCTCCGCCACGAGCGACGGCTTCTTCAACATGAGCTTCAGCTTCAACCGCAACTTCAACTTTTACGGAAGCAGCGGCGGCGGCAACGACCACAAGTTCAACCGCCGTGGTGTCGGCAGCGGCGTTATTGCAAACTCGGCCGTGTCGCCACCGGGTCCAGCCAGACCGAGGGCGAACACCGGCGGGGTCTCCGGCAACGGCAGCACTATAACCGCCCCTTCCGCTGCCGCAGGTGGTACGGGCGCAGAGGTTTTTCTGACTGCTGTTGAGGCTATAGGCGGCGGTGGCGGCGGCGGCGGCGGCGGCGGTGCCGGTGGTGTTTTTGGTGCCGCGGGGGGTCGGAGGAGGGGGGGCAGCTGGGCCCTTGCCGGGCCGAGATTCTCGTCCACGAGGACCCTGAGATACATGGCGGAGCTGTCGTCGCCGCTGCTGTGCGGTCAGGAGGAAGGCGAAGACGGGGGCGGCTTCGGCAGCGGCGGCGGCGGCGGAGACAAAGGCGGCAGGAGGGCGGGTAATGGTGGCGGTGGCGGTAGCGGTAGCGGTGGCGGTAGCGGCGGCGGTAGCGGCGGCGACGGCAGCAGTTCCGGCGGTGCCGGATTTTCGGTGTTCTCGGGATCTGGCGGCAACGAAACGGTTGCCAACAGGTGGGCGCCTGCAACGACGACGACAGCGCCGGAGGCAGCGGCGGGGGCGGCAGCGGCGGGTTCTTCCGATGCTGTTGCCGGTGCTGCCGCCGTTACCGGTGCCGAGGTCGTTAAGGTCTCGACCCACCAAGCCTCCGGCACCAACGACAGCAGCAGCGGCAGTGCGGGCGACCCTGGTCGTCGGGCAGAAGACGGCTCGGCTCCCCTAGCACCAGAAGCAGCAGGGACAGCAGCAGGAGAGGCAGCAGCAGCAGAGGCAGCCGCTGCCAATGACGACAGCAGCAGCGGCGGTGCGGGCGAAGCCGGGCGTCGAACAGACGACGGCTCACCTCTCCTACCAGCAGCGACAGCGACAGCGACAGCAGCAGCAGCAGCAGCGGCGACGGCAGCGGGGCTACCGCCGCTAACGCAACCGAAAACGTACGACGAGGAAGAAGAAGAGGGACAATACTTGCTCGATCGAGGTCCGGAGGAGCGGCAGCAACAGCATCAGCAGCAGCCATCGGCGGCGGCCCTGGCCCTGAAGACGGGGGTTCTGTACAAGAAGAGGGAGGTCTTCCCCGGATGGCGGCCCCGCACGTTCATCCTCGACCACCCCAACCGCTTGCTGAGGTACTACCTGCCGAGCTCGGCGAAGCCCCGGGGCAACATCCCGCTGGAGGGGGGCCGGGTGGAGCTGGCCGCGTCCGCCGAGCGCAAGGGAGGTGAGCGAGCGTTGGGTTGCGTTTCGTTGAGTTGACGTGTGCCTGCGTCGGCGGGGGGGGG